ATCATTCTCTCAACTATTCTCCTCTACCACTACTACTTATTCATTACCGCTCCGTATACTAACTAAACATTGTTGACTCTATAAAACTCCTCCAAAATCAACAGCGTCCCTGACCTTTGACCTTTCATTTTTCCCGTATATGACCTTCTTTTGCAACAATTACACGAATATAAAAGCCTTGCCAACTGAAAATACGGTTACTACAGGTCACAGTAAAATTTTGCATATATGCTTGTTCTAATACTGTTATTCGCTAATCTACAAGGTTTGTTATCAGTTTTAATTTTTTTAAGGCAAAATTTTTTGAAACTTTCTAGCACAGTACGATTTGATTTTATTGAAAGCTAACGATTTTTTTTATTATAATTTTGAATTCGTAATATTAAATTTTACATTTTCATAATCTTCAAGCTTTCATTTTTTTCTAAATTTTTTTTACTCATTCTTTTAACATTTCTTAATTTTCGCAACTTTGTTGAATTCAAATAAATGATTTCATCTGATAGAAAAACTGCTAAATGAAATGGATCGATCCGATTTATTTTTTTGTTTTTACGAAAAGATTTTGATCATATATTTTGTTAATGGAACATAGTTTGATCTTAGCTGAATAATTCAAAAAATATATATATCTAAATACAGTTATACTAAAATTTAGTTCCTTAATTTCGTTTAAAAATGATCGAATTGCTAGAAATTTGTGTGATAGGCATAAATTTATCAATCATTTTTTATTTCCCTATCTAAATTTAAAATGTCAGAGATCGTCAAAATTTTAAATAGCATATGAAGATTGTTTCTGAAATATATTTCCATATTCTGCAACAATCTTATCATAATTCTTACGATTAATTCTTATCTATCATCTTTTATATGTAAAATTTTTACTCAGAAAAAATTAGCTTAACGATCATTTTCTTTCATGGACAACAACTGACCATTTGTACGATCACTATCATTTGGTAGTTAATGAATTCTGACACATTCTACTTTCATCTTGATTGCAATCATAAATTACAATTTTTGCTCTTTTCCATATTTTTCTATCAACAGATTAGTAAATCATTATTTTAAATGATAATGTCACAGATAACAGTAATGATGATCTTATATGTTACTAGTCATTATTAGTTATTAGCCAATTATTTAATGAATTGTCTCATAAATGCTTTTTGTGTTGCCATGATTACTGTTTGGATTTTCAAATTTTTATTGATAATTATTTTCGCAGTAAAAATCAGGAGGAAGATATTTTTGCAACAAATTAATTCTCTTCTCATTATCAATTTATTCAGACTTGCAGAGTGGAATTTCAGAAGGAAATTAGAAAATGATTCGTTCAATTAACAAATTCTATTTTTTTTATAACGATCATCAGGTTCATGTTTCTTGAGTTTTATTTTTGTTTTGTTTCTAAAATTGCATGTTTTGACTTCTAAATATTCATTTAATTTTTTTTTTTTTGAACTAATACTGTTGTTTGGTCTGATATTTATCTTCGCTATCAATGATCTAATTGAAATTTTTTTGTTGTTAATTTTATGAAAGAAAACCAAAATAATACTTGAATTACATCCTTTTTTTATCTCAGTTACGAAAAATCAACCCAAATCTATGAAATTCCAGTTTTGCGCATCCAATAAATTCGAGTATTCCAATTTTTTGCTGTAAATCAAACTTTGGTTTCTAAACCATTGCGATTTATTATGTTTGGTTGATTATTGAATCAGATTAAAATTGAATAAATTCTACTTTTTTGATTTATATTAAAAAATACTTCTAATTCAATTTTCTTGAATGATATGAAAATCTGATAATTAACAAATTACTAGCAGATTTGAAAGACATTCAGTGTATGTACACAAATTTAAATTCCATATTCATTGTCAAAAAAAATGACCCTGATTTTAACAGAATTTATAATTAGAAATGCGATTCACTCGCATGTACACAGATTTAAAGATGTAAATTGCAATAAATTCTTACCAAGTTTTTTTTTTAAATTAAAATTTAAATGAACCGTAACTATTATTAAAAATAACAGTTAAAATTTTAACAACGAAATGACGAAAAAATGAAATGACGAAAAAAGAAGTTAAAATTAAAATTTTTGAATATCAATAATTATTGTGAATTTGTTGAATTTACAATGTAATGTGCGTCTAATTTTATTTTACTTCTGTAAATCGTGAAAATTTAGCAATGCAATCAAAGCATTTTGACTCTCAGTCTTTAAAATGATGAGTTTATGCTTGTTTTTTCATCGAAATGATGGTAAAGTTAAGTGACGTGCGTCAATATTCAAATAAAATATAGCTCATTGATGAGTGTTGTGTGTAAACAAATAGTTGCTTTAGTTTTATTCCGTGAGTGACCCTCAAGAATTCAACCAGTGGACACTTATCCTCATTTCACTATTTTCTTTTCACTATTCTTGAAACAAAAATATATAGCATTATATTTATCATTGGGGCAATAAGTAAGCTTAATAGCTTAAAATATCAGAATTATAATGGCTATTCATTCATGAAATGCTCCAAGTTTGAAATGTTTGTGAAATCTCAAGAATTCTTAAGAAAGATAAATTTCTAAGCATTGAAAATGTTGTACAAATTGGTCATACGACCACAGTATCATTTTCCTATTTTCCGTTTATTAATTAATCATTAAAATAATTATTGACGGGTAATTTGAAATATGTTTAAAAATAGTATTTTAAACTAATTTTGGATTGGAATTCACAAAAAGTTTCCAATTGCTTACTTACTTACTTGTATTATTGAATTATTATTTAGCGAACTAAAAGAACTTAAAACAGTTCTTAGTTGTCACTATCTTTTGCAAATTTCAATTATAAAAAGAATTGGATGTAATAAAATTCAACCTCTTACAATTTACAAATTTCACATGGATGGATAGAACTTTAGCCTTGAAAGCATCCTCTAATCCATATGATATCTTTATCATCTAATCCTCTAATCCAAAAAAAAAAAGATTGAAACAGTACTGACAAAACTACTACATGATTTGAACAATATGAAAATTGGCGATTATCTGTACAGGACATTTAATCGGTCATTTAACGACGATTGAAAGGAATTGACGAACTTTGTTCATGTCCTATATCTACTTATATTTGCTGCATACAATATTATTTGTTAATATTTATAAATTTCAAACGCATAATTAGGAAATTATTTTGTCGATCATTACATTCTTTTTATTCGAAGTTATAAAATTTTGAATTGAAAAAAATAAATTAATATTTCATTTTATCGCCTAATAATTTATTTCAAAATGAAAGGAATTTTTATCAATAAATAAACGCACGTAAAATATTCATTAAATATTTTCTTTTCTCTTTTGTTCCATCTGCAAATTGAATTGTGATTTTATCCTGTAAACTAAAAAAAAAAAACCTTCTTTTAACTTATTCATAGTTATTTCGCAGAAAAAACACTTTTACTTCTGAAAAATGCATTAATCTTTTCAGTTATTTTGAAAAATCACGAATCAAACTAATATGTAATAAATTTACTTTTTCATCCTTTTGCAAAAGAAAAAATGGAATAGTTCATCTGAAAGAGAATTTCACCTTTTATTTCTTAAATTACTGTGATGCAAAAATATCCGTTTGAAAATCCTTTCGAAATGTCAATTGCTTGCTAATATGCGGGCATAGATTTGCGGGAATGGAAGAAAAATTATGCACAATTATGCGAATTGAATGAATGGTTAAAAAATCAATGGATTGATTAAGATAGCAAAGCTTATAACTAAACAATTAAGCAAAGATTTAATGTATTAGCAGTCTGGAAAATTTCTATTAAATTAATTATGATTGTATTAGCTTGTGATAATGCTCAACGATTTATGTCTTTTTTTTGGATTTTATTGCAAATTTTCTTGCTAAGATGGTTTTGATGGTTTGCATTATTTGACTACAATGCTCTTTTCTCTTTTTTTTTTTTCTCCTTCGATTTCCACCACAACAAACAGTACACTTTTCATTCTCACAGTTTGAAATTAAAAAAAGTGACATTGAACATTTCATTCTTATAATTATTCAATCATTCAATCGTAAATAATTCTCAAAATTTTTCATTGTTATAGAAAATATCTTTTCATCATATTATTGACAATATCACTAAACAAATGATAGAGAAAGAGAAATGTATGAAAAAAAAAGATTGCAATAAAATCTAATCCTTACATTTTTTTCAAATTTAAATTATATGACAAAATTCTGCCAATAAATAAACTAGGAATGAATGAAATAAATTAGTTTTGTATTGTTTAATTAAAAGTTGTACTAATTTCTTCTATTCATATTGAGATTTAACATGCATGATAAATGAAGGAGAAAAAAGAAAAAGTGAAATGAACATTTAAAATTTTACAGCGAACAATGAGAGCTGGTATTAGAGCAACGTTAAGCGTTAATAATATTGGAAGAGAAGTTATAATATGATCTGATAAGCTAATCATTGCTATCATAGTAAGATAGAACTGGTATGATGGAAATAATTGTGAATATGTTTAATTGAATGATTTCGCAGAATGGTAGTTTCATTATATTGAAATGTTTGGTGTAATTTTCTTCGATTACATAAATTTGTATGGTGGAAAATAGAGCGGAAAAAATTGGATGAAAAAGTATAAATTGTGAAAATAAACTTTTACTTTATTGTTTATAGCAAAAATTCAATCATGCAAAAATATCATTATGCAATAATTATGAATCATTTCAAAAGTAATATTTCAAATTAAAACTAACATAGAAGGTGCAGTTACTCTCTAACAAATGGATAATTTTATAAGGCTGACAGAATTTGCAGAATTGAGAAAAGAAAATTTAGAAAATTAAAATAAAATTGCTACAGATATGATAATATTAGCATTAAAAAGCTATTGTTTGATTAATTTTGGGATGCTTAAAATTTTTACTTTTTTTTCTATTATCATTGAATGTTAGTGATGGAAAGATAAATTGTGTTGAAATGCTAAATAATATTTTAGGCTTTCTTGCACTGCGATTATGTGAAAGTAACGTATGCTTAAATGGCGGAACGTGTAAAGTAAATGATGAAAATCGTAGTTTCCAATGTTTTTGTCCGGCTGGTTATGATGGATTGTTATGCGAGAAGGAGAAAGTTTGCTCATTACAATGTCACAATAATGGAATATGCATTTTTACTGATAACGGAAAACCAAAATGTAATTGCTTAGAAGGTATTTGATTGTTTTTTTTTCTCATCCATTAATTCGTTCTTTTCAAAAAATTTGCAAAAATTTAATTTAAAAGAAATAATTAAATCGTGCATTAACATAGTCTGAATCATTTTTTTCATAATCTTAATCATAATATATAAATATAGTATGCATTGTTAAAAAACAAATATCAATTTTTTTGCTTGCTTTATTTAGCTAATTAATTAATTGCGTGATCGGTTAAGTAGCCATGTGTTAGTATATTAATATATATTTTTAAAAAAGTCATATTATATTTTTTTTTTTACTTATCATTTCAACAATACACAATATTATTTTATATAATAATTTGAATTCATTATTTACATGTTTATTCCAATTACGAAAAATTTTCTCATACCACGACAATATTTCACTTAAAAGATGCCGACATGAATTACGCTCGTAAAATGAGCATTTAATAGTCGATTCTTTTTGGTAACAGTATCTCATTGTTCATAGTGTTTCGTTTTTATTACTGAATTTGTGAGTGCTGTCAAAATAACTATCATTGATTTTATTCCAGAAAAAAATTGAATATATTGAGGGAGAAATTCTGATATATTAAAATGTATCTATTATTATAGTAATTAAAATGAATTAAGAGAGAGAGAGAGAGAGAAAGAAAGAAAGAAAGAAAGAAAGAGAAATAATAGTAAGAAGTTATAGAATTTTCGGGGGAATTATGTGAAATCGGTTCAATTGACTGTCAAGTTCAAGGTTGTTCAATTGGTGAAAGGTATATTACTCCATTGTTAAATTCATTTAGATACAAAATGTCAACTAATTGAACTTATTACTAAATTGATGAGGACATCAATATTTATTATAGCATTTTTGATCCATCTCATATTAGTACCATTAATGATAACAATCAAGGAATGATGAAATTTAAATTGAAATTGGAAATTTTCAAAATTCTCACAATTTATAGATGTACAGTTACTGAAGGTGGAAAATGGCGGTGTATGTCTAATCCATGCATGCCAAATCCATGCAAACATAATGCAACATGTACACCGAACAAAGTAAGTGAATGTGAAATAATTTAATAGATGGTAAATTTATTTATGAAAACAATAAATTTAAGATGAATCAGATTGAAATTGATTGTTGAAAGTGTGATTAAATGAAATTAGTTTCTCAGATATGATTAAGCTAGGCTAATTTTGCAGGATACAGGATTTAAGTGTCGTTGCACGAATGGATTTGAAGGTGCATTGTGTGCGGATGACATTGATGAATGTATGAATACACCATGCAAAAATGATGCTATCTGTATGAATAGCCTTGGATCATTTATTTGTCTCTGTAAGGATGGCTTCCGAGGTCAATTATATATTTTCCTTTTTTTTTTTTGCAAGCTATTCGCATCTAAAATTCAAAAGCTATAAGCAATAATATTTTTAAATTTAATTTATCATTGACCGAGAAAACAACGATGATCTGTTTTTTGAAGTGAGAGTTCACAGTATAAATATGCTATCAATTTCTTAACTCATTAACTTTCTCTATAAACAACAGATTATTTTTATTTTTATTTTTTGCTGTGAGCATTACAATCTCTTGTCATTCTTTGCATGTATATTCGATATTTTGATAGAATTGTGAATTAAATTCAAATTGAAAACTTAAAAAATAATAAGGGAATACTTATTTTAATTATATTTTCAGGTAGTTTATGCGAAGAGAATACATTATGTGATCCTAATCCATGCTTCAATAATGGAATTTGTAGTATTATCGATGGCTTCTATTATTGCAATTGTCAACCTGGCTTTACCTCTGATCGATGCCAGGTAAGCGTTTGTAGAGCTAATTATAGTTGTCAAACAAATGATATACTGTATGACAAAGGAGAATTTGCAAATTTCAATTTATTGCATATCGAAATACTGTCAATTTTCTACAAACATTATTTCATTCATTTTTCATTTCCTCCATTTTTATTTCTTCCAAAATGGTTTTAAGTTATTTCCCAACTCGTTTAGGGAATTATTTGGCATTTTGAATATGAGAATGGCTTTTCAATTGAAGGACAAAAAAATAAATAAATAAACGAACATTTTGTTAAATAAATTAATGCTACTTAATTTAATTACCTTCGTTGAAAAATTTTGTAGGAACAAATTAAGGAAGAATGCAATTGCAAGAGTGATAAGCAAATTTGTATTAATGGAATATGCAAATGTCCTGATGGCTTTATGGTAAGGCTAAACGATAATTGTCACAGCAAAAATATCACAAAAAAAAAAACCCGAAAAAAAGAATCAAACGTAACTTCTGTTTTGTAGTATGATAAATTCCAGGGTAAAGATTGTGATCAACCGTTATCATGGTCGTGTGTAAGGAATGAAGGATGTGAGAATGGCGGTACTTGCCTTGAAACTACTGGTAATTGCATATGTCCACCTGGTTTCACAGGTATACGCTGTGAACATGCACTTGAATGCACTGTTGATGGGTATTGTCTTAATAATTTTCATCAATATTTTTGTGTTGATACAATAAAGTATAATATCCAATGGAACATCTTAGCTTAAAGATAAATGCAATGATTATTTTAAATTAAATTATTCTATATGTTTATCGATCCTAATTTTAGCAATCCGTGCATACATGGTAGCTGTATATGGTCTACAAAAGGAACTATCTGTAATTGTAAAAATGGTTTTGAGGGGAAAAATTGCGAGAGAAATATTTCAGAAATGCTCAATCCATGTCTGTTTCGAAGTTGTAATACAGGTAGCTTTTTTCATTCTTACATTCATCTCCTCATTAACTTTTTTTTAGAAATCAAACACTGATAAGGATGTTATTTTTCCATTCGTACCAATTGACAACTTTGATACCATAAAAAAAAATCATATAGCTAAAAATCAGTTTATAATTTGACGAAATTAACTTGTTCAAATTAGTTAAAATTATCGATTATATTAATAGATTTATTATCATATATATTTAGCAAATTTTTGCAATTCAATTTTTTCTATCAGGTCAATGTATGAATAAAAACGGTTCAGCAGTTTGTATTTGTCCGGAAGAGAATTCAGGCGAATTCTGTGAAAATACGGATATTTGTAGAACAAAACCATGCATGAACGGTGGCAAATGTCTTATTGATTTTACGAGTAAGTTTATGAATAAGTCTTGATTTTTTTACGAGTAAGCTTTATTGAATTTTTTTTTTAATAGATAAGTTGATAGAAATACGATTTATTACTTTAAAACGTGTTTATTTCTTATTTTGTTTATTGTTCATTGTATGTTTACTTCATATTATAACTTTTGTGATTTAATTTTAGATATTTTCAAAAATTTGGTAAGCTTTAAAAGACATCATACCTAAGTGAAACGTAAGTGACTTGTCAAAATGGAAAATAAACATTATAGCTGCAAAAAAAAAAAGTTACTTTAATACTTCAATTTTAGATACGTCTAATTTTAAGTGTATTTGTGATGAACACTTTAGCGGTACATTTTGTGAATTAAAAGTACACGAGACGGAATGTGTGCCAGAATGTACCGCGGATGAAATCTGCGAGCAAAGAAATGGCATTTTTACCTGCATTAAAGTAAGAGATTTATCTGTCATTAAAGTAATAAATAAATGTTACTCTTATATTTACCGCATATTATCAATACAAATTACTGTAATGATTCAATATAAATGTATCGTTCAGCTCCAAAATACTCTTCAACAAGACATTACTTCATCGACTGAAATAACATGTGATGATTGTGTGCATTCATTTCGATGTATTGAAAATGATAAAAATGCGGTATGCGTTTGTGATGTCTCTTGGACTGGTTCAAAATGTGATCAGCAAATTGAGGTTTGATTGATTTCTCTTTGTTCATAATGAATACAATGAGTGTTACAGAATGATAAGACATGATGATAAGATTATATATGAATGATGAGAGAAAAGAATTTTGCTTATTAATACATTCATTGATGATATATTCTATGAAAATTAAAAGTTAACTGACAATAAAAATCTAATAGAAAATAATCACTGATCATATATGTAATCCTATCATCATGTCTTATCATTCTATCTATTTGTAGGAATGTCAAAGTTTACCGTGTACACAGCATCAGATATGTCGAAATGATCCTACAAATACTGGAACAATAACTGCTTGTGGATGTGCGCCAGGTCTAACTGGAATAAATTGTACCATAAATACAGCTGTAACATTTCATAATACTTCATTCTTTCTCTACCAATCATCAAATAATTTTCTTGGGTATATCCCTTTCTTTCCTTCTTTTTTTCCATATTTATCGGTAATAAATTTAAATAAAATGCAGTTTCATTTAATTCATCTTCATATAAATTGTGTTCATCCATTTGTAATTCATTCATCCGATAAAATTTATTCTTTGCAATTCGATCAAGTTTTGAAGTTTTTTATGTGAAATTTAAATTTATTTGAAATTAAACAATGATAAATTTAATGAAAAGAATTTTTTTCTTTTCTGATATTTGAAACTAATGCATGAATAGTTTACAACATTAAATTTTGTTTTTTGTTTTTTTTCAGGTCACCGCAATCTGATTATACATTAAAAGTTACATTTCGAACAACCGTGGATGATGCGAATATTTTATCAGCAGAAGATATTTTAAGTCAAATACAGTTCGCTTTAAATATACGAAACGGTTATTTATATGGTAATTTCACTGATTTTGTTTATCGAAAATTACTGCCATTTGCCGTAAATGATGATCATTGGTATACTGTATTGTTCAATAATACTAATAAGGTTTGATATTATATTTTACAATTTTAACTAATTATTTGAAATCATCCAATCAACTGATACTTGAGTAATTAACACTGGCACATATCTAAATCCATTGTAAATTGAATATAAATAGCATTCAAATTATTTGATCTATTAATTTGTCAATTTTCAATAATTCAAATCCCGCCTTTATATCTTATCATTCTCAAGTTTTTTTTTTTTAATATCATAATGTAAGAACTGCATTGTGTTGATCACATCCTTAACGTTAGTATCATTAATGCTCCAAGTAGACTGGACTTTTTTTTGTTTGGCAAAACAACTTTAAAAAGTTAATTGTTAAATCTAACATTGACAAATGCAGAAGAATGTTAATCATTGAAATTGCAATTTTCGTTTTTTTTTTTCCAAAATTTCATTCGCAGATTGTCATGTTAGAAATACGCGAAGGAGATTTCGTTTTATCGCGTGTGAAAATAAAGGAGGAAAAAAATATGGGCATTTATTGGACACGAATAGGTAAAGGTCGAGGAGATGGTTTCAGAGGTTGCATTCGTGACCTATTTATCAATGGCGAATTCATTGATATGCTCAAATCAGCGTGAGTATTATAAATATTAAAGTGTAAAGACTGGTTCTTTTTCTCTTTTTCTTTAAGCTATTATATTCATAAATCAAAAATTGAATATGAATTGAATTGAAATAATGAATTGATGAAAATCAAAAAAGATTTCACGTATTAAAATTGTATTAAAAAATTACTGTTAGCAATAAATGATTGAATTAAAAATTAAATTTAATTATGAGAATTTTCAACTATAGTTGTGGAATTTTAGGAATGTATTTGGCGTGATTGATGGATGTCAACGTTCCAAATTATGTTCACCTAATCCATGCCAAAATAATGGCATTTGTATTGATCGATGGGATGAATTTCGTTGTGAATGTAAGAAACCATTCTTATCACCATATTGTATACAACAAACCGATGAAGTAACGTTTGGATATGATAATTTGAAATCACGATTGGAATTAGATGGAAATGAAAATTTGGAAGATATTAAATTAAAAACGAATATTGATTTCTTGATAAGGACTAATAAACCAAATGGAACATTATTGTATCTTGGTGAAAAGGTATATATTTGTAATATACAAAATTTAAATATTTAATAAACAGTATAAGCTTTTAATTATAACCTTTTATAGCTTCTTATTTTTTAACGTATTTAAAAATTTTAGCTAAAATTTGAGTGATGCAATGAAAAAGTGACGAACATTTATTTTTATAGATAGACATTATGGATTTAAATTATTTAAGATAGGAAAATATCACAGTTGTGGATTTTTATGGAAAATTTTCTCAGAGTATTCTTTTTCTTTCTTTTCTTTTTTTTTTTTGTTATTTAGGATAATGACGATATTGGAACTTTCATTGTGCTCGAAATTTTCAATGGTTTTTTAAATATACGAACACGTTTGGGTGGCAAAAAAATATTTGTAAGAAGTATATCAGATAAAATCGATGACAATAAAGTGCATTTGATAAATTTAATCAGGGATCGGAATAATTTTACTGTAAGATTTTCTTATTATTTTGATTTTTCCTGAATATTTTCTTTAGAAGTTACATATTAATTAATACTTTATTAAATGTAATTTTGCACTTATAACTGTAAGATTAGAATGAGTTAGATCATTTCATACTGTAAAAGTTCACTGTTGAAGTTATAATTACTAATTGAGAAGATAAGATGAGATAAATTCATAAATTAAATGTTAAATTGTTATTTCACAGCTTCATCTGTAATTACAGATTACAATAGATGATATAGCAGAAACAAAATTCGACGTTGAAAATCGGTTTGATCATCCGTTACTAGCAGATACATTAATTTTGGGTAGCAATGAATATTTACCTGTCGATGCATTTTCAACTAACGACTACTTCAAAGGGACGCTGCAAGATTTACGCATTAACAATCATTTGGTCCCCCTTAAAACACTCTCCACCGATATTGAAATACAACAATTTGGTAATCCGATCAAAGCGGATAATATTTTGCAGGTAATTATGCTATTTATTAATTGTAAGGATAAAAGTGTAAAAATTTTCCTATTACTATTCTCTGATACATTTGATGAAATGAAACAAATTTGATATAATGACGAGTGATTTTCAAGAGTAATTTTTGCATTTTAATTGATTATTAATTTTTTTTAAAAAATTAATGATATAAAATTTGTAAAACTGTTGAAAAAGGAAATCGTTCATTAATTCATCACTGCTACTCTTAATTATTCAATTATTGTTATTTCATTTATGTTTTTTTTTTGCTCAGCCATTAATTTAAAAATGAAACTAATTACGAAAGTTAATTGTTTTTATTCAAATTCAAATATCATTTTGCAGGGAACAGTATCGGATGATATTTGCGCCCTTTTAAAGCCATGCGTGAATGGACAATGCTCAAATACATTTAATGATTTTGAATGTATATGTGAGTATTCATGGATTGGAAAACGTTGCAATGAACGTGATCATTGTGCGCTTTCGTCGTGTAGCGTAAATACAACGTGTACTAATTACAACGGTGGTTATGTTTGTAAGTTCATCCATCATTTATTTTCAAATGTTCTAGTTTTTTTTTTTTTTTTTTTAATATTAAATAAGGATACGACGATTGTATTGTTGCTATCAGGCAGTTCACCAGCGACCTTTGTGCCAACATCGTTTGCGAAATATAAATTGGAAAATGGTGATGCTATGAAGAATGATATTTCGAAATCATTGAAGATTAATTTTGCGCTACGAACTCGTTCATTATCAGGTCAAATTATTTACTTGGTAAGTTTTATTTTAATTTTAAAATGATAAAATTTTAAAATGGTAAAATTTCATAAGTTGGAGAGGCAGTTCAGTTTTTTGCAAATGTGAAAGAGTATTTTTTATCAAATTCCTATTGTGCATATAATCGTTTTTTTTTTTGTTTTCAGAAAACTTCAACTTCTTATCTGTCCGTTTCACTGAATGATGGCTTGCTTATTTATGATACACTGATAAATGGTGATATGAAAAAGCAAATTTTTATAAACATGAAAGTAAATGATGGTGTACAGCATAGTATCGATATGAACCACAGTGGTTTATATATCGATGGTAAGCTCAGTGCTAAGAATTCATCGTTTATCCTACCGATCAATGCATTTGATTTCACTGATAATTTTATTTTAATAATTGGACAACGAAATGCTGAAATTCCATCATTCGATGTGAGTAAATTTTTTGAACAGAAATTTTTTTTTCTCAAATTTAATTTTTTGTTGCAGAAGTAAAATCAATATCCGTTTCAGTTGTATCAATCTGATAACAGTTAGCATTAGTTATTATCATTCATTTTGGTGTTGTATTAAATACAGGCTATCATTTGTCCACGAAAATTTTAGAATTTCAACAATTTATCATGTTGTATAATATAATGAGGAGTTGTTTTTTTACATTGTAGTAAAATTTTGAAATAAAATGATAATTATTGATTAAACTGGTTTTCGTATTAAAT